CGGCCTAAGAGGCCTCCAAGACGGCCCCAAGAGGGCCCCAAGACGGCCCAAGAGGCCTCCAACACGCCCAAGATGGCCTCCAAGACGGCCAAGATGGCCTCCAAGACGGCCCCGAAGCGCCCCAAGAGGGCCCCACGTCGGCCCAGAAAGGCCCTCAAGACGGCTCCCGACGGCGTCAGACGTGCCAAGAACCTACCAAGATGGCCGAAGTTGGCTCGAAGCTGGCCCGAGACGGCACAAGCGGCCCCCAAGAGGGCCTCCAGGAAGGCCAGAACAGGCCCAAAACATTGATTTTCCGTAGGTTTTTGACGGATTTTGACATTTGCTTCTTTTCGGCCTTCCGACGGCCCGAGACGGCCCAAACGCCCCCAAAGATCACCGAAAGATCGCCCAAGAGGCCTCCAAGATGGCCCCAGAACGGCCCAAGAGGGCCCCAAGACGGCCCAAGAGGCCCCCAAGACGGCACAGGAGGCCTTTAAGACGCCCAAGATGGCCTCCAAGACGGCTCTGGAGCATTCCAAGAGGGCCCCAAGTCGGCCCGTAGAGGCACCCCAAACGGCTTCCGACGGCGTCAGACGGACCAGGAGCCCACCAAGACGGCCGAACATGGCCCCAAGATGGTCCAAGACGGCCCGGCCCAAGAGGCCTCCTAGAGGGCCTCCAGGAAGGCCCGAAAAGGCCAAAATCATTGATTTCCCATGGGTTTTTGAAGGAGTGTGGCATTTGCTTTTTTCTGCCTTCCGACGGCCCGAGATGGCTCAAGTGCCCCCAAAGATCGCCCAAGAGGCCCAACACACGGCCCCAAGAGGCCCCCAAGACGGCCCAAGAGGTCTCCAAGACGCTCAAGATGGCCTCCAAGACGGCCCAAGAGGCCTCCAAGACGTCCTCCAAGAAGGCCCGAAAGGGTCAAAATGGCCTCCAGACGGCCAAGATGACCTTCAAGATGCCCACGTGTTCCCCGAAGGCTTTCCAAACCGATTCGGGGAAAACATGGTCCGATAGCTTGGCAGGTCTGGCCTCAACGTTCGGCCACATAGGCGCTTCCAAAAAGGCAGGGGGCGGCGGTGATTCGCCGTAGGCGTCTTCGATAAGATAGAGATCTACGTGTAGAAAAACAAACAACAACTAAAGGGCCCGTCGCAGAGGCTCTGAACTCTCGGTATACCTCGCGGGGGAGGCCACGCTATGGGGGTGCTAGCACAAGAGAGGGAGCCAGGCAGCCAGGCATGGCCCTGCAGCGAACGGGGGTTGAGGCCACGGTCGGCATCGACTCTAGCAGCGTGCGAACTCAGCCTCGGGCGCGGCGGATAAGAGAAAAAGACTGGGCCATCGTGCGGAGCGAAGAGCGCTTACCATACATGGGTTCTCACTCTCGCAGGTGAAACCTTGGATAACCGTCGATGTCGCGGATGTGCTCCATAACCAAACTACTCATTGCCATCAGCGCGCCGACCTTGTGAGACGGTGGTGTCGCCCGCGCGCTTGACGGCCAAGCATACGATCTCCTTGCTGGTCCCTGTCTGGCCATTCATCTCTGTACTTGGCGAGGGCCTGATGAATAGCGATTCGCCTCCCGCGCCTCGCTTACATGGGAGGCGCGAGCTTCTAGACCGCGTCCTCCTGAGATCCCGCCGAGACAATGCCCCCGTCGCTGCAGCAGAGAACTACCGCATCCGTGCCTCTGACTTCATGGTCATCCCTGCAATGCTTTGAAAATGTCCGCCGGCACTCTCTGGGGCCACCAGGCTGCGATAAACACTGCTAGACTGTTGCCCTGCCGATGTCTCGTGTCTGCTCTGTATTTTCCTGTCTGTCTCCTGCCTCTTTCGCCACACTCTTTTTGCTGCCTACTCGGGGGCCCACGGGGTACGGGGCAACCGATCTCAGCCCCGCTTGTTACCCAGGGTCGCCCAGAATTTTCAGAGGGACAACAGACGGCCGACAGGGCCCACGAGGCTTTCTGGAGTGCCCCAAGAGGGCATGAAATGGGCCACGAGAGCCCAGATAGGTACGCTGGGCTCAAACTGACTGAAGGACGGCCCAAAAGATGGCCCCTAGGGAGGCCCAACATATGCCAAGAATGACCCAAAGAGCTTCCCAGAGGGCCAAGGAAAGCCGTCTGATGGCCCTCTATGCCCCAAGTGGCCCCAAGACTCCTCCAACAAAACTAAAACACCTCAGGCCGCTTCGTCAGCTAACGGGGATCCTAAAATGCCCCCAGAAGCCCCCAAAGAACGCTATGACAGACATCGTACGGAAACTGACCAGAATCGATGCACCATCCAACAACACATGGAGATTGCTAATGCTTTTCGAAAGGCACGGCCAGGATGAGCCCCCCCGACGTAGATCTGGCCGCGCTCCTTGTGAGGAACTGGGATTGAGTCCGAAGAACGCTCATAGTGGCGTTTGGTGTCTACGGGGGTGGGGGTCCGCAGCCCCTAGAGGGGCCCAAGATGTTCCGAACAAGCCCCGAGACGTCCCAAGGAAGCACCCGAAGCCTCCTCGACAGGACACCCACGATGCCATCGGAAAGCCCCTCGTGCCCCCAGGAGGCTGCCCAAATGGCCCCAGCTGTCTGACGCGCCCCCGAACATGGTCGACCATGCGACATAAACAATATGTTTTCTCACATGCTTCGGAGGCCGCGTACAGTCGGGGCGTTGACCTAAGGAACCCTACATAGGGAACGAGGCCCCTTTCTCCCATAAGTTGGACTTCGATTTCCCATTGGAGCCCTCAGGAGAACCGAAGGTACACTGCAGAACAAGCAAGGAACGCCGAGCCCCTCCCCAACGAAAAGGGTTCCTTCTTAAGGGCCCCGACTGTAGATCCGCCGCGCCCCTTGAGGAACGCCAGGGTAGCCGTAGGGGGCGATTCCACAGGGGCGCACCTGGAGTGTGCCGGAAGTGAACACAGATCCGCTGCCTCCCGTTGTCTGCCCACAGATCGGCAGCGTCAACCACTTTGCACGACCCCTGACGGAAGGTGTCCCTCATCTGAAGCAGGAGGAGGAAGAGGGGGAGAAGGAGGAGGAGGAGGGAGGAAGAGGAGGAGGAGGAAGAGAAGGAGAAGGAGGGAGGAGGAGGAGGAGGAGGAGGAAGAGGAGGAGGAGGAGGAGGAGGAGGAGGAGGAGGAGGAGGAGGAGGGAGGAGGAGGAGGAGGAGGTCCCTGGCCACAGAAGGGCCTCCTCGTGAAGGTGTCCCAGCGCTGCTCGTGAAGGTGTCCCTCCGTCTGATTCAGACTCCTCCTTCTGCCCTGGTTCCGCGGCCGCCCCTCCGCTTCACGCGAGCCACCTGCACAGGCACGATTCGACGGGTGAGGTGCGCGTGCCGAGATCCTCGTCGGCGCCGTCGCCAGGTCTCAATGGATGGGATGTATGATGGGGATGGCTTCTCCTCTTCCTCTTCCTCTCATCCCTCCCAGCTTCACTCGATATGGGGGCATCAACCGCGTCCGCACGTGGTCGCGCCGCCAACTCAAAAGAGCCAGAACAACTGCAGACCTCCGTGGCTTGCCCAAACCTCTCCACACGCCTTCCGTATTCCACCGCCGCCCTCCGACGGGATCGCGCCTGAGCGGGCACTCCGTGGCCTCCCATATCACTGAGAATAAGTGTGTGTGTGTGTGTGTGTGTGTGTGTGTGTGCGTGCATGTGTGCTTCAGGCAATGTACAGCCTAAGGGCAACAAGAAACGGTGGTGACTCGCCGAAGGCATCTGGGATCTGCCGCCTCGTGTTCCCCTGAAACACTTGTACACGGGGACGCTGCTAAACCAAAACAATGACGCACCCGAGAACAAAAGCCAACCGTGAATCGAAACACTTCCCAATCTTAGTTCTCCCGCTGGATCTGGCAAACTCCTGCTTTCTGAGGTCCTGATCCACAGGCGAATTGGGTCGCCTGTCGTGGTTTGCCATCGAGCCCTTCGCCTTTTCTCGCCGAATCCATCCGCCGCCGTTGGACAAATTGTCCAAAACAATGCTGGCCAAGAGGGGGCGGCGGTGACTCGCCGCCAGCGTTTTCAATGTTATTATTGTCAGACGGACGCCGGAATATGCCCCAAAATCTGCCCCCGAGATGGCCCCAACGGCCGCCGCACTCCTCAGAGCAAAACCGGCACACGCCTCCTTGAATGGCCGCCTCCACGCGCGACAGGTTGCTGCCGAATCCTGAGACCATCGCCTCGACCTTCTTGCTCAACGCCGACACGTCCTTGTCGTTCGACTGAACCCTGCTGTGCATGCTGTTCAGATCCCGCCGCAGCTGGCGCGCATCACCTGCGAGCACGAGCAGCGCCACCAGCTGCAGGACGACCACGAGGCCGGCGAACAGGAGGCGGGACCCCGGGCGCGCACACTGGAGCACGGTGCCTGGGGGTTGGACGATGGGCTCCACTTCAAGAGCAGAGACCCCGCGCTCCTGCGACCTCATGGTCGTTGCAAAGGGCCTGGAGCCAATCTTGAGCAAATGTGTCTGCGGCTCTCTTGGTCAGGCAATCTCGGGATCGTGCACGGGGCAGGGCGGTGGGACGTATCAAGCGAACATCCGACAAGACAGTCTCTGGGCGAGCATGAATACCAAGTACACGACGAAACATGCATGACACTGTGCGTGGCTGCTTCCATGACGGCCATTCGGTATGCCCCTCTGTGGCCGAAAACCTGACCAAACTTCAATCGTGTGAAACATACGAGGCATTTTTTCTGTAAGGGAAGGGGGTTATTGGGCGCTTGTATGCAAATGCCGACAAGTATGGACACGATCTCCCTGCATCAACGTGCAAGCTCAACTCACTGAGCGGGCGCGTTGGCACCGTAACTTCGTGTGAGGAAAAGCACATGATCAACATGGGAGTCTCGCGAATGGCAGACTTGGGCATAGCCCCCCTGGGATGACACTCCGACGGAGAGAGAGAGAGAGAAGGAGAGATAGCGAGAGAGAGAGAGAGAGAAAGAGAGAGAAGGATATTCACAAAGGTTTGCCACTAGGAGCCCGGCGTGAAATAATCGTTGTCAAAGAAGTGCACGCGGACGTAGCCGTCCTTCCATTAATGCAGTCAGCCACCGAGAGTGATGTCATTATCATGCGACCCGAGAGATGAAGTGGGGCAAATAACGCAACCTAAATTGAGCAACAAGATGGTGGACCGTATGGGAAAGCAGATACACGGAGTGAAGCTAGAGAAGTATGGATAAGCAAACTTCGCAAGACGTTGGACAAAACAACTGATCCCAAGATGGGGTACCAAGAAAGTGCCTCAGCGGTATATACACATAGATGAGATGTAGACATATACCCAGTGCCATCCTGACGGGATACCAGTGTGAACTCCTGGAGGGGTGAGCCAGTGCAACCTACGTATGCGATGCATCGCCAAGCAAATGACAATTTACTGCAGTGTGGCACAAAGCGAACCAACGCAAAACAAACAAAAAAACATGCAGAACAATGCTAACCACCCGGCGCCGAGGCGGCAACTGGCGCCCACGAGGTGGCAGCGGGCTCCCACGGCGGGGCAACGGGGCGGGCACGGACCGAACATCGGGAAGACGCGCCAGGTCCCGCGGAAGCCACGCAGGTCCTGCTTGGCGCAGCACTCTGCTTTGGACGCCCGAAATGGGTACACTCTGCGAAATGCTTAAGAAATCATGGGTTAAGAAACTCAGAGTCTCAGAATTTGAATAAAAACCCAGAATTTCCATTGAAATCTTAGGATTTACATTGAAACATTAAGAATACCCGAGACTCCGGCCAAAAACTTCAGTTTTCTTAAGCATCGCCTAGGGTGTACCGAACAAATGGGTACAATGCCCAACAGCAAATGTTGTCCCAAACCAACAGCGGCCGCTGTTGGGCGGGCGGCCTCCTGAATCTCGAGTGGACACGGGCCGCGGCGGCGTGGACGGCGAGCCCTGTTCAAAGTGAACAAGACCCAGTGTGCCCAGTCTTTCAGTATCCATTTCGTGCGTGCAGATCTGCACAGGAAACCATGTGATCCAATTTTCCCGCAAGCCGCCTGGAAGGCTCGACAGCACGCCCCCGCGCGACGCGCGGTGCAGAATGTCAAGCCCCACGCCGCACAGTAACGCGTTGCCGGGCTGACCCTCGCCGACTGTGGCCGCTGACATTTTCAGCCTCCGCAGTGCAACGTGCGCGCGAAAATCTGCCCTTGCCCAGGGTTAGAAGGCGTGTGAGATGTTAGGAAGCAACTGCTGGGAGGTCTTCGTCGGAAATATCAAAAAGGATTGAGCCCCATTGCGGGGCTGTTACGCCAGAAAGGGCCTCGGATTAAGCGGGATTAAGCGGGATTCAGCGGGATTAAGCCCGACTTCGGGCCAGGGCAAAATCAGAATTTAACCTCCCAGGAGTTGCACCCGAAGAGATGTTTGCACGCCCCCCCTTCTCCGTTCCCAGTGGGTCAGACTTCAAGACGACCCCCTTCCCGGGAGGGTGGGGCGTGGGGGGGAGCCCCTCGACGCACCCTCCAGGCCCTCGGGGCCTCCCTACCCGCCCTTCGACGCCTCGTCCGACGTCCAGGATGCCCTCCGAGAGGGCGCCAGGAGAGCCCACTCACGCCCACTGGGCCCGCAGACGGCTGCAATTGCCACGGGACCTCCCAAGAATGACCCGGAATTGCCGAAATCTCAAAACAAAAGACAAAATGTGCTTCACACCTGTATCCTTCTCGCCGCTTCGCTTCACGTGGGCGTATGATGCCTCAAGATGGCTTCGCTCTTTCCCAACGTAGCCCCCCAAAGGCCCAGAATCGGTCCAAGACAACACCGAAGGCCCCCAGACGCGCCGTAATAGCGTCGCGACAGGACGCGCAGAGGCGAACGTTGGGGCTCCATGCGGCGAATCCCAATTTAGGATCCTCCTTTTCTGGATCGAGGGCCTCCAGAAAAAAAAGGCTCCAAGAGGACCCCCCCGACCTCGAAGAAGGCCCCCCCCCAAAGCCCCAAAAAGTCTTACAATGCTCCCAAAGGGGCCCCAGGAGACCTCGAAGATGACCCCGGAATGGCCCACACGAGCCTCCCAGTGGCCTCGACATTCAGCATGATGTGCATGTCTGTTTCACGGTATATCTATGTCATTCGCCGCTCCGGACTGATCGCCTGCGTGAATTGGACGGGCCGCTGGGGCTACGACAGGCACAACATTACAATCGGCCATGCACCTTGCCGGGTCGGCCGGACGGCGTGAGCGTTTTGAGTCTATCGCACCAGGCGCGTGCGCCCGACAAAACGCCACGAGGTGGACAAGCAGGAAGATATGGAGGGCAAGTGGAGCGGAAGATGCGAGTGCCGTGGGGACGACGGAGATGCATGTACCCGGGGTGAGCGCTGAAGGTTTTCTTTTTGCTCACCATGTCTGCGACGAACATGCCGACGCGTCGCCACGAAGGACCGCGCCTGCCCTTCCTGCAGCGACGACTCAATCGTCCACGCCCGGCGAACCTGGATAATGCCCGACGGCTCGTCCAATCCGTGATTCTGGCTCGTTCTTCCGGCTGCGGGGGGCGGACGGAAAGGCGAGGCAGGCAGGCAAGGGGGAACGGTCGTCCTCCATCCCTCCTATTTTCCCTGAAACGTCCAATGCGCCCCAAATAGTTCTGATCAGACCCCGAGAGCGGGACTATCATACAAAAGCCACCTGTCGCAATCATGGCAGTTGCTGCGTAATTTCCCCATGGTATGTTTTTGTTTCGCTTCGAAGCGTTAAAACGACCCCCCAAACAAAAACCCTACACTTTCCAACCATGGGGACACATGGTATGACGAACGGCCCACTTCGAGGCCAAAGCTGGCCCCCAAGGGTCACCTGGATCGTTCCAAAAAGGCCCCGAGACAATCGGAAGCGCCCGTAATGACTTGCAAGAGTTACACATGCGCCAAAACGTACTGTATCACGACGACCTCCTAAGCTTATGTAGCTCCCATCGTACTGAAGGACCACATCCCAAAATAATTTCGAGCACCGGGAAAAGTGTCGAAACAGTGTCCCCCAGGGCCCGACACGTGAGGAAGTAGGTTGGAACATCATAATCTTCAGCGTCCAAGACGCCCCCATACGGTTTCAAGGAAACCATGACAATGGCGCGAAGAGGCAAACATGCCCAAACGTGGATTTCAGGAAGCGCGCACCCTGGAGGCACAGGTACCGGCCATCTGCCTCTGGTTCTTCACCCCGGGTCGACCCCTGCACCCCGCACCTACAGTCAAAAAACCTGATAAGGACGCGCGGCAAGGACGCAAGACCCTTGGAAGCCGAAGCTGGGATTTTTGGGGCGGCGGAGGACGAACACCTCACGGACGCAAGAGCAGGGAAGAGCAATGACGCACAAGGTTTTTACCCTGAGCAAAGTCGAGTCCTTACTCGGGTTTTTGACTCTGTCCTTGAGCGCGTCCTGTCCACCCCTCGACAGCCCAGCAGCTTTCCGCCCCCCTGCGCCGGGAGACCGCGCGGGCGGCGTCGCGGCGCCTCCGAAAGGCAGTCTGGAGAGGGGCGTGGCCGGCGGCGGCCCGCCCGC